ATCGTTCTTACTTTACCCTGATCTTATTTGTAGTGGGATTTCAAAATAAATTGCACTTCAATATTGCTCCTTTTTCTCCTCTACAAGTTGGCTTGCTTAGAATTTCAATATGACGTTTCGTCTCTTGCATCCAGCATCAACTTAATTTTTTCTTATGGATGCCATATTGGATTTTTGCACTGATGAATATTATTTTTAATTCTGATTCCTAAAATGTGTGGTGCGTCATACATTGGCATTGAAAAACCTTAGTTATTTCCAAAAAGCAGAATTTCATAGGTAGGTCGTGAAATTATCAGATAGTCATTTGTATTTTTTAACATTGTATTCTGCCAATATTTTCACAACTAAACTTTACATAACGCAATGCTTGAAAGCAAGTGAGAAATAACTTGTAATGTAGCTACCCTTCTTGAGTATTTTAATAATCGGTGAAGTGCCAAAAAATGGCTGTTAATACTAACAGAATGACACAAACCAAAAAACACCTTACACCCAGCTGAAACTAAAATGAACTATGCCGTATGCCAAATCTGATTCCGTCATTAAATTTGTTTTACCAGTTTGACTGTAGGCTACTTGGTATTTATTTCGACTTTGAGCATTTGCTAAAATAATTCTTCAATTTATTGTTGTTGTTTAATTTGGTAACTACAGTTCATTTGCGTTTTTTTTGAGATAATTAATAATGTTTTATACTTTTAGCATTTAGTTATTTTTCACAACCTACTGGCACGAACACTGGACAGTACACCAAATTAACCAATCTGGACTAAAAATAAATGTGATCAAAATATTTCGCAGAAAGCTTATGGAAAATGGCTTTCAGCAATTTTTTTCAAAAGTATTTTGTGCACCTCACCAGGTAAAATAAAAGTTTCTCTGTGCCCAAAGTTTTTCCAAGAGTGGTTTTAGAGTGGAATCATGCATACCGTACTATAGCATACTGCGATCACGGTACCTATTGTGAAATAGGGATCGTATATTTATTTGCATTCTTATTATGTATGTATAATGTGCTGTGGGCCTATATTGCAATTTTATCACAAATACTCAAACTTCCATAGACGGCGTATTGCTCCTAAGCGAAACCTTTATTAAACACTATTCCAGATTATCTGCATTCAGTTTTTAGCTACTGAGATTGATATAAAGGTTGCATATCTAATGGACAGTATTATCTTGTTATATTTGTTAAATTAAGGTAATCGAGTTATAGAGTGTCAAACCCTATTTTTTTTTTTTTGTAAAATAGTTTACTCCAAATACGTATGAGTTTAAAAAGCTTGGATATCCAGCTCTAGATTAGTTGTAATGTAAAATCCTGATTATATTATTGCTCCAAAAATTCGGTATAAGATAAGCCTGACAATTTTTGAAAAAAAAAGTTTCATCTCGGAGAATAGTTTGGGCCAACCTGAACATGCGATAAAATGGTAATCTTGGTCACCTGGGCAGTGCAGATGATAAGAATGTAGGTAATTGCCAAACATGTATTACAAAATGTATTTAGTACCCGCAATTAGATGTAATAGTTCCCTTATATATATATATATATATATACAGCTATAAAACAGGCCTTTAGGTGCTACCCTCTTCCAGACTCTGATAGTCCTGCTCCTCAAATCTGCCATAACCGCATCATTTTATCTTCCTCTTGGTCTCCCTCTTGTCTTCTTGGTATCCGGAACTCTCCATGCTATATGCTTCATTGTTCTTTCTTGCGGCATTCTTTCCAGGTGCCCCAGCCACTGCAATCTTCTGGTCGTAGCTACTGCTATTATATTTGTTTGATTATACAGATGATTGATTTCCGCATTAGGCCTCCTAACATACCCCCCTCCACCTTGATCCCTCCATATATTCTCCTTAAAATTTTTCTCTCCCACCTAAGTAATGTTTGTTCAAGTTCTTTATTAATTACCCAGGTTTCCACTCCATACAAAAGGGTTGGCTTGATGATCGTATTGTATAGTCTTATTTTGGAGACTCTGAATACATTTCTTGACTTAACATTTCTGTTAAGCATTCCCGCACATTTATTGGCCTTACCGATTTTGTAGTTTACTTCTGTTTCCTCATTTATTTTATTACTAATCGGTGATCCTAAATACACAAACTCATCCACCTCCTCAAAAATCTTTTTTTTCCTGTGCTTACCGTTATTTCTAGCCTCGTTTCCGCCTGAAAGGTCCCTATTCTCATAAATTTACTTTTTTCCTCGCTAACCTTCAATCTCATTTTTACTGCATCTTGTATAAACTGCTCTACCACTTTTTTCATTGTCCCTTTATCCCTAGCTATTGTGTCGACATCATCAGCATAGGTAGTTAGTTGGTGACTTTTAAATAATGTACTTCCTGATCTCTTCAACTAACTATCAATAACAATTCTTTTTAGGATCACATAAAATAAAAGTGTAGATAGTGACTCCCCCTGTCTGAGGCCTGTATCAATCTCAAACTCTTCTGTCAATTCTCCTCTGATTTTGACCATACTTCTTATTTGTCAGCAGACAAACAAACAAATAGTTCGCTTAACTTGGATCTTGGCCATCTGGCTTAAGCAAGTATGTTACCTTCCATGATTAATAACACCTCAAGGTTCCTAAGTTTTCTAACAACTATAGTATTCAATTGTTTTTCAACTTCTACAATTTGCAAAGAAAATGGCCAGATGTAGCGCAATGGTCGATCTTAGAAAATAACAAGAAGTGTGACCACATAATCACACCAAATTGACCACAGTATTTTTAAGAAAATTTAGATCGAACAGTTCAACAATCAAATCTATTAGAAAAATTGTGGATACAAAAGTCGAGTGCTTTGAGGCTGGCCGTCATATGCCACTTACACTGTGTGGCCTTTCCAAAGCTTTCGACTGCGTCTCACATGATTTATTACTAACAAAATTAGAAACATTTAGCTTTAGAGGTATACTATATGTTGAATCTATTCCACTCGTATCTATACGGCAGAAAGCAGTGTGTTGTGGTAGACGAAGCTTTATCCGATTTGCTTTGGGGTGCCCCAGGATTCGATCTTGAGCGCTTGCCTTTTTATAATATACCTAAACGACTTATTCCATCATATGCCAAGCAGTTGTGTAACATATGCTGATGTCACGCCATCCATAACCTAGCTATGCTCGAAAAGAAAGCTACTGACAATTTAGAAAAAGCAAACAACTGGATTAGTGCTAATTACCTAAGATTAAACGAAGATAAGACTGAAAATATGATTTTATCCACTAGTAGGTCCGTAACGATAGATAGAAATGCTAGAGTTCTTGGAATAGTTTTTTATGACTCATTAAGTTGGCTTCACCACATTGACTCGCTTGCTGTAAAATTAAGCATACCTTCTTCACTTGCGGAAATTGAAATCACAGGTCACCCTATAAGTATTAAAAAGTTGATATCATTCGTAGCTTATCTATGGTATTATAACATTATGGGGTAATTCTTGTAAAATAAATAATTTGTTCATTATTCAGATGAAAGCCATTAGAACCGTGATGGGTTTAGGATATTACGATTCTTGTAGAGATTACTTTAGGATACTCAAAATAATGCCTGTTCCAACATTACTTGTATATGACACACTGCTAGATATACATAAACAACTACTTCACAAAGTTCCACAGTCACCAAACTAGATCATCTGATGACTTGAGGGTACCCAGATTCTCACTATCCATATCAAAACAGAGTTTCCTACGTTTAGATATGTACAATCATCTGCCAACAAGTATCCGTCAACTTAATGCAGTTCATTGTGAACATATTTCAAAGACGTTTTAATGCCATAAGTGAATTTTTTAGTCCAAAATCTTAGCCAGAGAATTATGTGTACTGTCGAATTTTTATCTGTATGTCTATTTTGTACTTCGTATATGAACAAATGAAATAAATATCTATCAAACCAAATATGTAATAATATGCAGATGGCTATATTAGAAAAAAATTACAAGTTTGATATGAACCACCCTGTATAAATGTTGTAATTCAAGTGAAAATATTTCTAGTTTGCAGCCTTTAGGGCCATCCACTATAATCATGTGTTAATAAACTCATAGTCCTACGTCCACGCACTATTGGCCCAGTCTGTATAAGCCCTTTAGTTACTCTTACTTAATGATTTCCCATATTTTTTTCATATTCTCTTTGCCTCTTTATTCCAATACAATTTTTGCAGTCGTATACAAACATGACTTTTTAAAATAGAGGAACTGTATATTCTGAAATCGAGAAAGCATGCTCTTCTCGTTACTGTTTTGTATTACTAACTTAGTGAAATTTGACACAAAAAGAGCAAACCATCCAATATGCCTGTATTAACAACTGTTATGCCGGCAGTACACGCTCGCCGAGGCTATCCGAGATGAGACGAGCGCGAGAGTGTGCTCACTATTCCCGCCTCGCCCTAGACCCTCTCGCCTCGCCCTCGGAGCGCTCGGTGTAGAAGCGGTCTCCCAGTGCGAGTCAAAGGAACCGAGAGCGTAAGTGGGAGGTCTCGCGAGCGTGGACATGGTATATTCGGGCGACCTCGGCACACGCTGGTCTCTTGTTGAACAGTGGAATTTGTGGCGTGATTAGTTTTCGTTTGTGTGAGTGGACAAATGATTTTACTATCAAGTTTTTGGAATTTTATCAGAGCGAACCTTGTTTGTGGGATCCCTCTGACGAAAATCATAAAAGAAAGGAGAAATTAGCTGACGCCTGGAATCGAATCTCTGAATCTACAGGCAAATCTGTGGCAGAATTAAAGAAGAAAAAAGATTCTTTAATGGCCACTTTCCGGGGTCACTTAAGAAGGAAAAAGCCGTCCATTAGGAGCGGTGCTGGGGGCGATGATATTTACAAGCCTATATGGTTTGCATACAGCTTTATGGAAACTTTTCTTGGTCAAATATATGACTGCCACCCTACCATAAACAGTCAAGACACGGTAAGTACATTCAATAAAATAACTATTACTTATTACTTGTCATACAATATTTTATTTGTTTCTTAAATTCACAAAATATTCAGTGAAATTATCTCTAATCTTAGTCGCACTAATCGGTGATCGACGAGCAATATGTGGTACACATCGAATAGCACAGTTTTGAGGTACTTCTTGCCTCCAAGCCCCTTCAATAAAAACGCCGTTATCATATTTATCAAGAGTGCCCGACGGGTTATAAATGTTTTTTGAACTAGAACTTTTCATAAGAAAATTGTGTAGAAGTACACATGTCATTGTTAACTGCGTCACTTTTTCGGGCATCAATTCGATTGGCTTTTTGAAAAATCGGAATCTGGAAGTTAATATTCCAAAAGTATTTTCAGACAATACACGAGACCTTGACAATGTTTCATTGAAAATACGTTTGGGAGTATTCAATTTATGATCGCCAGGATATACATATGGTAAATCGACGTTTAATCCGGGTAAGGGGCAAGATGGAGGAAAATTCATCTTATTTTCACAAATATTTTTCCATAACACACTATTTCTAAGTATGCCGCCATCACTGATTCTTCCTTGGCTTCCAATGTCACAAAATATAAATCGATATTTACTGTCTACTACAGCTAGAAGAACAATACTAAAGGTTCTTTTGTAATTGTAATATTCTGATCCAGTGTGATCAGGACATTTGATTACAACATGTTTTCCGTCGATTGCTCCAATGGCGTGGGGAAAATTATCTCTAAATCCTTTTTCAATTTCTATCCACTCATCTGTAGTTGACGGCATCTGCAAAAAGATAAGAAATTACATTTATTGTTAATATTGTTAATATGTAAGAAAATGTATTTATTTTTCAGATTTCTCTTGATAACGAAACCCTCGAGCCCACATCTCAAGAATCAGAATCAGAAATCAATGAAGTAGTGAATGTTGTACCCTCAGCTAAGTCTCAGCAAGTAGCACTTGTAGCCAAACCTCACCGACCAACACCCTTACCAATCTCTCAGCAAAGATATCGTCGTCGCCAAGTTCCTACGGAATTGCTTCAAGCAGAAAGTGAAATGAAGGAAGCCTTCTCATGGGTGAAGAATGTTGTGTCCAGAAATGATGAAAAAGAAGACGAGTGCGATTTATACGGTAGAATGTTGGCAAAAAAACTACGAAAAATTCCGGAATTTCAAAGAGAATACTTGATGCATGATATTAACGAAATGGTCCTCAGGGCAATGCATCCATCTCATGGTTCTGTCGCCACGCCATCCTGTTCCAATGGACCACCTTCCAACTCATCGCTAATTTCCTTATCGTATTCTCGACCTACATCTGCAAACAGCAATAACTGTTCCTATGCTTCATCACAGGGTATCAACGAGCATGCCCAGGACCAAATGGAAGAACACATACAGGAATCTGATCCTATCAGCCAAGCACTGTATATGCCCTTTGGAGGAAAAACAGACACCAACTCGAAAACTACTCATTTCAACATGTAGATGTAAACATTTTATAATAAAACTGTAGCTCTATAAATGCAAATGAATCTATTTACCTTAATTTCATCTTTCAAAGCCTCTCTCTCTTCACTTGAAACTTTAAATAAATAATGTAGGCTCTTGAAACTGTCGCCTGTGGCTAAATATCTCAAAGTAATTGCTAGCCGTATTTTTGGAGTTATTGCCTGTCTCATTGAAGTATCTTTTTTGGAAATCATTGGTGAGACTATATTTAAAAGATACTCAAAATCAGCTAGAGACATTCGAGTAAAATTTTCAAATTCACCACCAGGTTCCATTAACAATTCGCTCAACTGTCTGTCCATGTGTTCCCTATACGAAAATAAAAAATCAAATCAAACACAAAACACTTTATAAAATCTAATCAAATTACGTAATAATGTCAGTATATATATATATATATATATATATATATATATATATATATATATATATACAGTATATATATATATATATATATACAGGGTGTTCCATAATTATTGCGACAAAATGATAGGGGTTGTAGAGGGCATAAAAATATGCAATTTTGCCTTATAAACCCCTGTTCGTAAATATGCCGTTTGAGCACTACAGTTAATTTTACCTTAAGAGCTCATAGGAGAAACAAAAAATTCACCAGCTGCAAAATGTTCGTCTAGCACATTTCATGGTCTCGCCGGTTTGTAGAAAAAGCCTGCTGTGTTTACATTTTTGTTATCGTACACCCGTACCACCTTTTAAAAGTCCAAGCCATGGGTCCAGCAGACTATCTGCCGCGTCGACGTTTTTGTCGTTGGTGGCTGCAGCAGGAGTTGAGGCAACCAAACTTTGGTCGCTACGTTTTGTTCACTGACGAGTCCTGTTTTACAAAGGACGGTTATTTTAATAGCCGTAACAGTCACATTTGGGATGAAGAAAACCCTCATGCCATAGCCATCCATAGAGACCAACATCAGTTTTCAATTAACATCTGGTGCGGCATTGTGGACGAGCATATCATCGGGCCATATCTGCTTCCACCACGTTTGGATGGGCATGCTTATGGTCGATCCTTGCAGCATGTGCTACCGGAACTATTAGAAAATGTGCCACTGAATATAAGAGCCAACATGTGGTTTCAACACCATGGCGGTCCAGCCCACTTTTCTTTACAAGTGCGGCAGTTTTTGGACGACAAATTTCCAAATAGATGGATAGGCCGAGGTGGCCCTGTGCCTTGGCCTGCGCGGTCACTTGACCTGACTCCACTGGATTATTTTATCTGGAGCTATCTGAAAGCTTTAGTGTACGAAACTCCTGTTCCCAACCAACAAGAGCTACTGGGAAGAGTGATGGCCGCGTCCGCACATGTTCAGGACATACCGGGGGTATGCCACAGAGTTCGCCGATCATTGAACAATCGTGCACAGGTGTGTATTGAGCAAGGTGGAGGACACTTTGAGCAATTACTGTAGGTAAGCTGTTTCAAGAAACTGATCTTTTTTTTTTGCTGCAGCCCAAACGGCATGTTTCCGAACAGGGGTTTATAAGGAAAAATTGTTCATTTTGATGCCCTCTACAACCCCTATCATTTTGTCGCAATAATTATGGAACACCCTGTATATACAGGGTGACTTTGAAGTTGAGTCATTAATTTTCAGATAATGATTGTAGAAGGAAGATAAACCAAAATATGTGTGTAAAAATAAAAAAAAAATAAAAAAAAATTTTTACCTTGTTTTATAAAGTATCCTCCCGACAAGTATTTCAGTGCGGACCTGTATTTGATCGTGAGGTCCCCTGTGAGGTCTTAAGTCACCTGATTCACAAGCCCGTTGTACTACATTAACAAAGGCACGAGTTGTTGGTTGCACTCGATTGGGAAACCGATCCGCATAAACATGTGCCATTTTTTATTTCGTTTGAGCCACGCAACACATACCACTATTCAATGACACTAACTGTATACAAATGAATGAGATACCTGTAAAAACATCGTTCCAAATTCTTTCGCTTTTTTGTTTCCGATGCGATGAACCGATACGGCGGATTATATCCATTGTCGCCAAACACGACCACATAATATTGTTATTGAGACAGGGCGGTACTCAAACTTCCAAAGGGCTATAACTTTGTTACTTTAATTTTACCAGGAAAATGGTAAAGGAAAAAAACATTTCTTTTGATCAGATCTACTCACTGTTAAAATAAATGACTCAACTTCGAAGTCACCCTGTATACCTCGTTCTATTTCGATTGATTGATTTCACCCACCATCTTCTTTTCTTCCAAGGCTTCTTGATTTTTGAAGTTGATAAAATATGCAAATATTTATAGTAACAATAAGCAGCATAGGCTACAGCTACACAAATTTCCACGTTCTTGGCCATCACTCGCACGAATCTACACAAGGAGCCGGTTCGATGTTTACTGCGAGAGTGCCTCGGGGCGCCTCGCATCGGGGAGTCTCGCATTCGGATGGCTTCGACGAGCGTGTACTGCCAGCATTACGGCCTACTGTTGAATGCAAATGTTAATTCTTCTCTTGAACATCCCTCAAGGATACGACATATCTGCTTTAACGTCCAAAGTAGATCATTGCTTAACACTAGTTTAGAAATATTTGTATAACCCTCATAAAACCGAATGTAGTGAAACTCAACATATATCTTGATAATATTCCTCAGCGTTATACGTCGCAGGATGTAAAAGTGCCAATAATGGCCTACGTCTCAGCCCGACTATGTAATGTACTATTTCAACAAGTATTGCATCATCCAGATAAAAATACTCCTCCATCCCTGCTTAAAACATCCAATAACACCATTCGGAGAGCGTTGACTATTTCCTTTGTGCCCCTGCCTGCATAATGTAAAATTCCAGGAATATTATCCAAATTCCTTCCTTCGGTGCTTATGCGTTAACTCAGAACGAGACGGATGCCACGTTGAGATTAAAGACAACATACAGTGTATCGTAAAAGTACAGATGAAGCATTATATGGTGTGTATCTTTATTGACCGCAAAATGATCAAAATTCCGATGTCTACAGAAAACAGTATTAGTAGTCTGCGAAAGGCTGCCAGATGAGAAAGTAAATTGATTTAGTACTTACCATGCTTTCATACTTGTCTATTTTCCAATCTTCCCTACGTACAAATTGAAAGTCCTCAACACAAAGGTAGTATATTTGAGTATTATCACTGATATAACCTCGAAAATGAGTCTTGCTGAGCTTACAAGCTTACAGAAACTTGGAAAATGACAAACAAAAGTGTATTTCCCATAATTGTTACACCTCCAATCGTTGTTATTATTCCTGAGAATACACGGTTATAAAAACGGCAACAAATAGGACGAATGTCTGACAGAAAATATTTTCATATATTTCTGCGGTGGATACACTATACGACATAGAAAAATTTGCCAGAATTTAAAACCCCCTCAGATGCATTGTTGAGATTAACAACCTGCACAATGCGAAACGTTCGATGCATTTATTGGCGATAGTCAAGCATCATCAAAGAGCGAATAGAAGCATTGTACAAAAATAATTAATACACAAATGTCAAACACATTTAATAGTACCTGTTAATCCTAGTGTTTAAAGTATTTACCATTCTTGTAAGTATTTTTGACGGATAAGCAAGCCTCAAGTATCAGAACACTGGGAAATTTCAACAGATGATTTGACTACAAATCTGTAGAGGGCTTAGAGGGCTCAACGAAAATATCATATTAACCGTATAATCCTTTTTTGCAATATGAATGCGCGCTGAGCATCCATAAAGCAACCCAGCAATAACAAGGTACAGTGAAAGCTCCCATAAGCGGACACTCACGGTTCCGTAACTTTTGTCCGCTTATGGGAGGTGTCCGTTTAAAAGAGAGTATGTAAGTATAGAGTATAAATAACGGGGTATATAATCATGAGGAAATGAGGTATTATAATCATGAGAAAAATGAAACAGAAACTCGCCACATTTTTAAAGTATGTATTTATGCTATATATCTATATAATATATGTACATATACGCATACAAAAACATAAATGCTTCAATACATGGTACGAGAATTTAAAAAAACATTATTCTTTAGCTTGTTGAAAAAAGTTTAAAATGTTTGTCTGACGAAATTTCACCATCTTTTGCTGAAGGAGACAATTTTCGTAATAACTTTCTAAATTTTTCAAATGTTGAAATGCAGTGAAATCATCTTTAGCAAATTTTTTCAATATAGAAATATGATTTAGAGCTTCCCCATATGAATTTATCGTTTTTGAACCGCTTAGTGAGTCCACCAGTTCCACTTCTTCTTCTGAGTCGTTTGGACTACCATATTCAAGTTGGCCTGGGCTTTCTACATCCAAATTCGAAAAGTTGCCAATGGCATTTTCTTCTGTTGTTATGTTATTGTCTATGGCCAGGAAATCATCTACTTTCTGGGGATCTGCTACTCCTAAATGTTTGGCATGTCGCAGTAACTGAGCAAGTGTCGCTAAGGGCAGATCGTCTTCAGCATCGCAATAATTTTGCTCAGCAAATTCTGAGCTACATTCACTTTTTCTGAATCCAGCTTTGCCAAAACAGTTTTTAATTGTAGAGGAATTTACTTTATTCCATGCTGTTTTTATAAAATACAAAGCTTCTAACACATTGATAGACTTTGTAAGCTCAGATAAGCTTTGACCATCGTCAATTTTTGTTAAAATATGTTTTAAAATCAAGTGCCGATAATAAAATTTAAAGTTCTGAATGACACCTTGATCCATGGGCTGACAAACAGAAGTTGTGTTTGGCGGTAAAAATATAATTTTCACATTTTTCATTTTCATATCACGAGGATGAGAGCATGCATTGTCTAAAAATAAAAGAACTTGCCTTTTTTGGATTCTCATTTTCCGGTCGAATTCGACTAACCACTCAGACATGATTTCTCGGGTCATCCATGCCTTTTTGTTGGATTTCCAAGTCGCTGGTAGATCCTTAATAGCAACGTTTTTTAAAGCACGGGGACGAGCCGCTTTCCCGATCACAATCAAATCGCATTTTTCACCGGCCATATTTGCACAGAATAAAATGGTTAGTCTATCTTTAGACAACTTTCCACCCACACATGTTTCTCCTTTAAAGGACAGAGTTTTGTCGGGCAATGCGCGAAAAAAAAGTCCACTCTCATCTGCGTTGTACACATCTTCTGGTTTGTAGCCAAGCAACATGGACGGAAGTTTCTCCAAAAACTGTGACACATCAACTTGATCTACTGCAGCAGCTTCGCCAGATATGCATTTGAAACTCACACTATGTCTCTTGCGCCACTTTTGCAGCCACCCGTCGGACGCACTGAAATTATTA